TGTTAGTAACAACCTTTAAAGCGCTCCATGGCAATGGACCTAGGTATTTGCAAGACCGCCTCCTACCAAACACCTCCCTTCGACCAGTCCGCTCCCACAGAGAGGGCCTCCTTAGGGTGCCGTCGGCCAGACAATGCCGGCTGGCGACCCCCAGGGGGAGAGCCTTCTCTGTGGCAGCTCCTGCCCTCTGGAATGACCTGCCCCCCGACCTACGTACAGTTGCGGACCTGCGCCTTTTTCGCCGAGCCCTGAAGGCCCATCTATTCTGTGCGGCCGGCCTGGCGTAGTTTGATTACGTTTTAGTGGGGGTTTTGTATGAACAGGCCTGTTATTTAATTTGATTTTAGAACAGAAACTTGCGTATATTTATCGTGGTTTTTATTATTGCCTGTTCACCGCCCTGAGTCCCGTAAGGGAGATAGGGCGGTATATAAATTCAATAAATAAATAAAAATAAATAAATAAATAAATAAAACCTCTGCAAGAAAACAAGCTCAGAGGGCACTAAGGATTTTTCCCCCCTGCATGCAGAATTTTTTGGCATTACTTCAAGTCCTCTTGCAGCTCCATCAGCTCACCCCTGTTTAATATATTGCTTTTCCTTGGAGCTGAAGTGTTCATGGAAGAAGACAGGTCCACTTTCCCTTGAGCTTAGCAAAAAACACCAAACTCTGCCTTTAGGTAGAGGCTTCCTTTTAAACCTGCACTGCAGGGGAAGTAGTAAGGGAACTCATCCCAGGGCAAGGAAACGGTGTGTGAGGCCATCCAGCCTGACCTCTTATACCCGGTATCTCGGTAACCAAAAACTGGGCTCTTCGCCTTTCCTTACCATCCCCGTTTTTGAATATCAAGCCGGTGCTGTTTCCTCCCGCCTCGCCGTTGTTAAACATAACCCACAGCGGTTTCATCTTGGAATCCATGACGGTGCAAAGCTCTACACTGGAAGGAGGGACACACAAAAAGGGCGGGCGAGAGGGGGGGAGAGACGCAACTCAAATCCCTTGTTGAAAGGAAAAAAATAAAATCCTTCCTGCTCCTTAAACTGAAGAACCGGCCTAACCCCACCCTGCTGCTCACTTTGAGTAAAATCAGCCTTTCTCAACGTGGACTTCGACTCCCAGAATTCCCCTCTTAAAAGTTGCAGAAGTTGAGAAATACTGGGTTAAATCAGAGTCACTGCTATGAGGTGGTAGTTCTCTAAATTCGAATGGATGGATGGATGTGTCATGGTTCCGACAGATGAAACTCTTCAAAAGAACTTCGAGGCATTGTTTACCTTAAAGAATCTTTTCTTCGAGTAGCATAACATCGGCACTGCATAATTGAAGCCAAAAACTGAATTCCCCTCCCCTGGGCAGTATCATAGTTTCGTGTTAAGGGAGGAGGTTAATTGTCAGTAATTAGTGTAAGGGGTTAATCGAACTTTGTGCCCGAAGGAGAGGTCAAGAGGTCGGACGGTTAAGAAATAGTCGAGACCCGAGTTATTGGAACTAAGAGTGGGATCCAAATCACAACAATACAGATCGATCTGAGAGGAAGTCTAGGGGGGGGGTCGTTCATCTAACTTTAAAAGCAAAAGGGAAAAATATGGTTATATTTCCATCTGTTGTAAATGCAAAACATCCGATGTTAGCAGCGTTTGACTGAATGAATGAATGAATTGGAATGGAATGGATGGATGGACGGACAGGTTAATCTGAGCATTACATGCCCGTCGGCTTTTATCGGCTTCCCTGAATCACAACTCTCAACCAGCATTAATTCTACCATTGAACTAAGCAAAACTGGGCCAAGCAAGACTGGGGGCAAACCCCCCCCCATTAATTTCAGGCCCATCCTAACCCCTTCCCCAAACTTTCTCCCGCCCCCTTACCTGACTTTTGCCAGGAAGATTCGGGGGTCCAGAGGGGACTGGAGATTGGAGAGGGCCTCCTGGTAAGTCTCTTGGCGCATACAAGTATGCATGAATTCCTTGGTTTGTGGCTTGGTGTTTTTCTGAGCGCTGACCTTGATGAGGTCATTCAAGGCCCTCAGCTTGTTGAGGGCTTCGCTCTTGAATCCAGAGAGAGAGAGAGGAGAGGGAGAGAGAAAGAGAGAGAAGTTAGATCAATCGGATCCCACAAGGCTCTCACCAAGACACTGGTTGACAATCCTGAGGTTGGAAATAATAATAGAAAACTTTCTTCTTCTTCTTCCTCTTCTTCTTCTCCTTCTCCTCCTCCTCCTCCTCTTCTTCTTCTTCTTTATATTATTATTATTATTATTATTATTATTATTATTATTATTATTATTATTATTATTATTATTATTATTATTATCAAAAATTCCATTTCTGTATTGAACAGTGTGTTTAGATATAAAAATACTAGAATATGATAATCATCACATTCATAGTAATCTTATTAAAATACAATCATGTACTAGGAAATAGCAATCATACAGAAAACTTTATTGGCCGAGTGCAATTGGACACACACGGAATTTGTCTCTGGTGCAGAAGTTCTCAGATGCCGCCTGAGTCAGCATATGGACTCCTATTGTTTGGTCTTGTCCTCTTTTTTTTTTTTCCTTTGCTAACATCAACCAAATTGGTATGCAAACTCTGGGTCAACTGCTACGTGTCCGGCTCTCACAAGACCGATATCCATGCGTTACAAGGCATTCGTGAAGGATACATGATGAACTGTAACTGAATAAAACCAAATGGTTCTGGTTGAGCACCTTTAACAGAAAGACCTGCCTGCCTGCTGTCACAAACTTACTTAAAACCTCGGTTAAGAGGTTCCTTCCCACGGCCTCCCTCTTTCTCTGGGCTAAGGTAGTTTTTATATCAGAGGTCCCCAACCTTTTGGGCACCAGGGGCCGGTTCCATGGAGAGAGGTTTTTCCGCGGACCGGAGGGTGCGTGGTTTTGTGTGCTGCCTGTATCCCGCGGATGGGGCTTTGCTTGTTTGTGCGGCCCGGTTGCTGGCACGCCGCGGCCCGGTACTGGTCCATGGACTGGGGGTTGGGGACCCCAGTGGTCCAGTCTGTGTCCATCTCATTCTCTCTCTCTCTCTCTCTCTCTCTCTCTCTCCACCGTTTCCGAAGACCTTTCTCGCTTCCCAAAACAGCCTCCTTACCTGTTTCATCAGAGCTTTGATATGATGAGCGTTTCCTCGGCAATAGGCCTCGAGGATCAGGCCAAACCTTAAAGCCAGCGAAGGGAAGTGCATTTCCGATCTAGCCACCATTGACGGAGAGATGGAACCCAAGCAAAACAAACAAAAGACAATTTTAATCACAGGGGAGTTATCAATACATGGCTCCAACCGCTGGACATCCGTGGCTTATATACAATCAGGCCATGGCGCTACGCCGGGGCGAGAGTATTTTGCACCGGCGGGGAAGGTGGATGGAAATTCAGGAAAAAAAGAAATTAATTAGTAATTAATTCTGATTATTCCAGCTGGCGGGGTCCAGGAGGAGGGCCTTTTCTGCTGTTGCTCCTGTTCTCTGGTACATCTTGCCCCCTTGATGTGAGGTCGGACCCCAACCCTCCTATATTTTCGCAAGGGCCTAAAGACATGGCTCTGCCAGTTGTTCCTGGGACCCCAGTGGGGGGGAACAACTCAAGTGGAGAAACGAGACTCTTAAACCGCCTTTGCTTCTCCCAAACCCTCTTTCTCACCTGAGATGCCAAAATAGGAAATGGCCGATCTTCCGGTTGGATAAGGCCCTGCCCAAAAGGAACTTGGTTAATTCACAGTTTAAGTAGGACTGGTATTTCAGAACCTGAACCAGCTGTAGGAGATACTGGAACAACTCGGCATCTCTGCAAGGGGAAGAGCAGAAGGTTAATTGATTGCACCCTCGGTTGCGTAGGCATTCAGACGACACATTGAACTCCAAGGGGAACAATCCTGTTTTCTAGGTTTGCAATGAAGTGGCAACCCCGCCCCCACAATCCAGCTTTAAACTAACCACAATCCAGCTTTAACTAACCCATCTTAGCCTGTTAAGGGAAGGCAGTTGTCAGATTGTTAAACAACCAGGTTAAGCAGTTGAACCAAATAGATCTCTCTCTTTCTCTATTTGGTCACCACGATGTAAAAAAGATGCTGAGACTCTAGAAAGAGTACAGAGAAGAGCAACAAAGTTGATTAGGGGACTGGAGGCTAAAGCATAGAAGGAAAGGCTGCTGGAATTGGGTCTGTCTAGTTTAATGAAGAGAAGGACCAGGGGGGACATGACAGCAGTGTTCCAATATCTCAGGGGCTGCCCCAAAGAAGAGGGAGTCAAGCTATTCTCCAAAGCGCCTGAAGGCAGGACAAGAAGCAACAGATGGAAACTCATCAAGGAGAGAAGCAACTTAGAACTAAGGAGAAACTTCCTGACAGTGAGAACAATTAACCAGTGGAACAACCTGCCTCCAGAAGTGGTGAATGCTCCAACACTGGAGGTTTTTAAGAAGAGACTGGACAGCCGTTTGTCTGAAATGGTGTAGGGTTCCTGCCTGGGCAGGGGGTTGGACTCGATGACCTCCAAGGTCCCTTCCAACTTTACTATTATTATTATTATTATTATTATTATTATTATTATTATTATTATTATTATTATTATTATTATTATTATTATTATTATATGAGATTGTTTTGACTCCCATCTTGGGGACAGGGATGATGAAACTTGTAGTCCAGTCCACCTGGGGGAGTGCCACCTTCAGGAGAGTGGGGGGGGGGAGTTCAGCAACCCCGCCCCCCTTTCCCCCCCCCCATTCACATGATCAATTTCATCTCCCCTTGTGTTTTGTCCTGTACTTCACCGTGTTTTTCTCAACACCAAAAAGATATCAAGGCACAAAACATATTTTGGGTCGATATTTTTCAACCTTGGCAACTTTTAACCTGGGAGTGGAAGTCTACCCCAATTCCCAGAATTCCCCAGCCAGCCAGGAATTTGGGAGTTGAAATCCATCCGTCTTAAAAGTTGCCAAGGTTCTGGAAAAAAAAAACTGTCCTGGGTTGAAATTCTCCCCCCCTCTTTTTAAAGTAAAATCTGAAATTGTATAGCACAACTGCCCTGTTTCCTGTGCTTTTCAAAACAGCCCCCTCCTTTCTCTCTCTCTCTTCCCCACCCCATCCTCCCCTTTTCTTTTTCTTCAGTTTTATGTTTCTTTTAAATATAAAGACATTTATATTTTGGGAGATGAGTTGCACTCACGTCAGCTTTTTCAGGGAGTTGACGGTGAAGCGGATCACGTAAGGGTCAGGGAAATTGAAATCTAAAAGCTCCAAGGCGCTCAGAACGGGCAGCTCGGGCCAGGATTGCAGCAAAGATACCATCTGCAAGACAAGCACAGGATCAGCTCTGGATTGGGCCAGGCCTTTCATCGTCTTTTGGTGTCCCTTCCGCCAGAAGCGCACTGAAGGTAACACTGCCCCTAAATAAGGAAGCTTGATTTAACAGCCTGGCCTATACAGGTAGTCCCCTACTTAACGGCCACCAATTGAGCCCAGAATTTATCTTGCTAAGTGAAACATCTGCTAAGTGAGTTTTGCCCCCATTTTACGACCTTTCTTGCCACAGTTGTTAAGTGAATCATGGTTATTAAGTGAATCTGCCCTTCCCTATGGACTTTGCTTGTCAAGAGGTTCGCAAAAGGGGATCACGTGACCCCGAGATGCTGCGACCATCATAAATACGAACCCGTTGCCAAGCATCCAGTTTTTCATCACGGGGATGTTGCAACGGTCGTAAGGGTGAAAAATAGTCATAAGTTAACTTTTCTCGGTGCCGGCGTAACTTCAATCGGTCATTAAATGAATGGTTTTTAAGTCGAGGATTCTGCAGTCTTCTGAAAACCCATCAGCCTGGTTTGGAATGATGGGACATGTTGCGTAACAACCCAGGGGAGAATCCCAAGTTGTTGATGGCCATTCCTGACAAGAGTTCAGCCCCAGACTTTAAAGTCAAGACTTTATAAATACTCTTTTTATCAAAAGAACCTGGTACACCTCCAACATTTCTCTTTAAGAAATCGTACACAGTTTCCAGGCACATCAAAGGGAAGGAAGAGAGGGAAGGAAAAACAGATTATTAAGCCTTGCGGAATAACGTTCAAATTCTCACGAGCCAATTTTTGAATAACAGCCGTTAACAATCCAGGAAAAGACAGCTTTCCTAAACGTGGCGCCCTAACTTGTAAACTGGGGGCTGGTTTTGCAGAGGAGTTTCCAGAATTTAGGATGTAACCGTTGGCTTTTGCAGCCTGTCATCCCCAACTAAATGTTTTGTCCCTGGTGGATCTTAACTAAAATTCTTACCTGGGCAACATCCTCGTGTTTATTCCACTTGGTTACCATGAGCAGTTTGGCCAAAGCGCCCGGGTACTGATCCCGAATCTGATATCTCATTTTCCACACCAGGTCTTTCTCGTGTTCGTAGAGTTCGCTGCAAGATCTGCGCTCCAGAATCTCCTTCAGCTGCTGTTTCTAGACAGAACACAAGGTGGCGGTCAAGGGCCAGAAAGAAAAACAACAATCTGCCCACTAAAAAAAGGAGGAAGTTAAGTGTATTTAAAGGAAGCCTTTTTTGAAGAGGGGCTTAAAAAAGCTGTCTTTGTGGTTTCTGGCAGGCTTATGGGGAAAAAAAATAGGGAGGGGGATTTTCAGGGATAGAAAAAGGGACCCAAACCATCATCCCCTGCAGGACAAAGCAGTGAGATTTAGTTCAGGAGGGGAAAAGGAAATTCAGAATGTCTCACGAAAAAGATATTGTCATGGATTTCAGATTTTGGCTGAATGTCGTGTTCCGACAGATGAAACTCTTCAAAGAACTTCGAGGCATTGTTTACCTTAAAGAATCTTTATTCGAGTAGCATAGCATCGGCACGTACATAGGCAAAGCCAAAATCTGAATTCTCCTCCCCTGAGCACATAGTATCAAAGCACAATTCCCTCCTCTAATTAACAGTCATAAATCACATTCTCCAATTAGCTTGAAATGCAGGCTTTCCCTCCAGTTCTTCAACCCGCCATTTCTTATCATCTCTTATTTCAAAAAACCTTGGTTCTCACCCTAGTTGCAGTATTGTTATGTCTAACTAAACTCCCATACACATTCCTCCCCCCCCCCAGTATCATCTAATTCTAAATCTAATTCTAAGAATAAAACATAAGAAGGAAAATGGCTGCATCCCCATATGTTGTCAAAGCATATTAAACACAGCATGGTGAGTAGGAAAGATTTTTTCTATGGTAAATAAGTGTTTTTCAACCTTGAAGATGGGTGGACTTCAACTCCCAGAATTCCCTAGCCACAAGCCTACTCACAAAAGGGAATCACGGCGGCCTTCATAAATAGGAACCAGTTGCCAAGCATCTGAATTTTGATTACGTGATCCTGGGGATTCCTAAGTCCCTTTTTTCAGGGCTGTTGTTACTTCGGACGGTCACTAAACAAACTTAGAGATAGAGGACTATCTGCACCTCTATCCTATTTAGACACCCATTTTAAGCAGAATTTCTGCTGGCATCCCAGATATACAGCTCAAAACATCCACGAGACTTGAACAGTTTGTATTTTGTGCTGACCTCTTCTGGATCCTCTCCTGGCCCACAGGCACAGTGGCCATTCTGCCCCTTTTCTAAGATCTGAAACAATAAATAAAAAAAAAAGAACACGAAGGTGGTACTTGAACACGGTTTGTCTTTCAAGAAAGATGGGCCTCAAGAGAAAATGGCTTCCATCGCTCCCAGATTGCAATTTACCAAGAGACCCAGCTTCCTTTAGATCAGGGGTCTTCAAACGTGGCCCTTTTATGACTTGTGGACTTCAACTCCTAGAATTCCTCAGCCAGGCACACGTGCCTGGCTGAGGAATTCTGGGAGTTGAAGTCCACAAGTCATAAAAGGGACAGGTTTAAAGACCCTTGCTTTAGGCTGATATCTTCTAGAAATCTTCAAATTTTGTGTTTTGGAAGAAAGAACTTGGAAGAAAAGAAGAATCCGCAACAGGTTTTCCACCTGTTCACATGAATAAATTGAAATTTCAGATGGAAGAAACGTGACATTTGGGCAGATTTGATGATGCGGACCCCCCCTTTGGGGAGGGTGCAAACCACCACCCCTGGATCTTGTTAGTTTGGGAACCAGAAGATCTGGATATGATTCAAGAGTTGCCCTCCTTGTCTACCTTTGGGCACAACCTCAATCTACAAACACCAAGAGGAAACCAGGCAAATCTTCCCAGCAAAGGAGCCCATTTGCTCCTGATACCCAGGACACAAAAAAAGCAGCAGGGGAACACACTCACAACACACACACACATACGATCGTCTCACCTGTCTCGTGGAAGGATAGTAGATCGGATACAGCGAAATACCGGGGAAGCGGATGAAAAGCGTGGCAGCGCTCTCACTGTTGGGATTGGTCTGGATCGTGCCCGTTGGGTTTAACAATTCTCCTTTCTCATCTGGAAGACAAAAGGGCCGAAGCTGCATCAGCCGGGCCGCTTCGAGCGCAGAGTCTCACTTGGCTAGGTTTATGGACTGCTGTAACCCTGTTTGCTCGAACAAACCATGATCAGAACATGATCCCATCGTGCCCCGTGTGAACCAGGCCTCCATATCTGATTCCGGGCAAATTCCAGTGAGAAACTAGTTTACCACTTAACTGGCTGAGAGGACACAACGAACTTTTCTTGCTTGCAAAATTATCAATTTGTCCAAAGAACAGAAGGCCGGACACAAGGCAATAACTATTTGTGCCGTCGGGATCACGAGTCCGCGGTGGCCCTAACTGCAACTGGTTGAAAGTCGAGCTAAGTCGAGCCTCCCTATCTAAGAGCAGTCCGTATTCTCCTAAATGACATGATGAAACGACTCCCCATCCACAGCAGAGTGTTACCCCGGTGGATTATGAAAGACCTCCAGTCTCAAGAAGAGATTAGAACAGCCACTTGTCTGAAATGGTATGCGGTTTCCTGCTTGAGAAGGGGCTGGACTAGAAGACCTCCCAGGTCCCTTTCCTTCCTTCCAACTCTGTGATTCTCTAATCCCATCTTTAAAACCTGTTTCTTGTCTTTCAGGCCTTTTGATTCGGCAGAACCCAGATGGATTTAAATATTAAGAAAGAAACTAAAGGAGCACACTCATCCAGCCGGATGCCCTTCCTTTCCTCCCTGGAAAAAAAGAGTAGCGGGAACGAATTATCCCCACCTGGGAAGGCTGACCACATGGGTAAGACGCATTCTCCGGTTTTCAGCTGATTTTGGTAATCAAAGAGCATCACGTTCACCCAGGCGAGCGGGCAGTCCTAAAAGAAAGGAGTGTCATGGTTCCGACAGATGAAACCCTTCAAAAGAACCTTGAGGCACTGTTTACCTTAAAGAATCTTTTATTCGAGCAGCATAACATCGGCACTGCATAATCGAAGCCAAAAACTGAATTCCCCTCCCCTGGGCACGTAGTATCAAAGCATAATTCCCTCCTCCAATTAACAGTCATACATCACTTCCCCAATTAGCTTGAAACCCGGGCTTCCTCTCCAGTTCTCCAGCCTGCCAATTCTTTTATCAGCTCTGGGCTCAATAACCTTGATTCTCAGGCTAAGTTTAGTGTTGTTATGTCTACTGGATTCTCATTCACATTCCCCCCAGCATCATCTAACTCTAAAAGCGAAAGGGGAAAAGATGGCTACATTTCCATCTGTTGTCAATGCAAAAACACCCGATGTTGGCAGCGTTGACAGGGAGGAAAGAGGGCGGTGGCAGGGATGATGGGACTCGTGGTGATAACGGGACTGCCAAAACCAAGACAACCCATCCCAGACTTGAAAAAAAAAAAGTTCATTTTTCAAACCCAACCCTATTTGGTCTGCCTTTTCGCTCCAGTGCCCCCCTCCTGCTTGTGGTATCCTGCTTGAGAGGCAGCCGTTAATCCGGTTCAACAAGGATAAAAAAAAAACCAAAACCCACACCCTTTGCAGTGTAAACAAGAGACGAGCTCAGCTGCAAAGCCCAGTTTTGGGGGCGCTTCCACGCTATTCCTTTCCAAGGGGAGACTGAGCCAAGATGCTAACAACAGTGCCTTCACTTCCTTTTCCCCTCCTTCTCCTCCCTCCCTCCCTCCTTTGAACCAGCCAAAGTGAGTCAGGGCAGGAAAAATGGGCTACTAAAACAGAGGGCGGTGAGTAACTCCGGTGGATGGACTCCAGAGAGCAGATGACTCGGCAAATTTGGAGGAAATGGAGAAAGCAGAGGCCGAGTGACTCAGCAAAGGACACTAAAAAGAGCGGCTGTCAGCCCAGTTCTAGGAAGTCCCAACGCCTTTCACGTCACACAAACACACACACACACACACACACACACCAGCCGCTTTTGGCAGCTGCACAAAGCTGTCTGTTGGCACATTCTCGGGTTTCTATACCGGGAAACACATCTTAGTCCCGTTGCTGAAACGAAACAATCTTTTTAAACATCTGGAAAGAACGGGGACTTCTCAGGAAGCAGCGCTTTTTGTGCAGATGCCAACGAACGCCGGCCTCTGGAAGGCTAAGCAGCCGTCGTTGCATACGTGCACAGCTTACAGCACACCCCTTACAACCACAGTGTGGAGCCCAAAATGTCCGTCGTTCAGTGAGGCATCTGTTAAGGGAGTCTTGCCCCCATTTTACGACACTCCCGGCCAAAATTGTTAAATGAATCGCGGCAGTTCTATCCGATAGAACCTGGCCTTCCCCCACTGACTTGGCTTGTCGGAAGGTCGTAAAAAGGGGGAAATCCCACGACCCCGGGACACTGCAACGGTCGTAAGTATGAACCGTTTGGCAAGCGTCTGAATTTCGATCCCGTGATCATGGGGATGCTTGCAAAGTTGGTAACGGTGAAAAAAGATCGGGCATCACTTTTTTTCCAGGGCGGTTGTTAACTCCGAATGGGTCACTAAATGAACTTTTGTAAGTGGAGGACTGCCTGTATTTTCCCCAACTCGGGATCTGCGAGAGGAACGTCTGAACCCCTCAAGTCAACGGACAGGCTCGTTCGGGTTCCTTGCGAGCGGTCTATTCTGTTGCACATTGGCGCGCGCGAGGACCCTCATTTTGCATGAATGTCCGCCCCTTCGTGATTATTTTTGAAACCCTGGATCTGCCATTGTTCCTCAGTGCAACTGTTCTCTTCCCTTGCTAAATTTCTAGCTTAGCCCTTATAAACAGAAGAACTCCGACATCCTTTAAACTCCGCTGAAAAGATGTTACCTAGCCTGGTAACGAAACGTTTGGAAACCAAGCTCAAGAAACAAACCTTCATTCTCAAATTTCTAACGGGCAGGATGCGCAAATCACCATCCCTCGGAGGCAAAGGGTGTGTTTTAGACCAGGGGTCTCCAACCAACTGTCTGAGATGGTATAGGCTCTCCTGCTTGAGCAGGGGGCTGGACTGGAGGACCTCCAAGGTCCCTTCCCAGCTCTATTCTATTCTATTCCATTCCATTCCATCTCATTCTATTCTATTCCATTCCATTCCATTCCATCTTCTATTCTATTCTATTCTATTCTATTCTGTTCTATTCTATTCCATTCTATTCCATTTCTATTCCATTCCATTCCATTTTCTATTCCATCTTCTATTCCATCTTCTGTTCTATTCTATTCTATTCTATTCTATTCTATTCCATTTCTATTCCATTCCATTCCATCTTCTATTCCATCTTCTATTCCATCTTCTGTTCTGTTCTATTCTATTCTATTCTATTCCATTCCATTCCATTCTATTCCATCTTCTATTCTATTCTATTATTTCTCCTATTCTATTCTATTCTATTCTATTCTATTCTATTCTATTCTATTCCATCTCATTCTATTCTATTCTATTCTATTCTATTCTATTCCATTCTATTCCATTCTATTCCATTTCTATTCCATTCCATTCCATCTTCTATTCCATCTTCTATTCCATCTTCTGTTCTATTCTATTCTATTCCATTCTATTCCATTCCATTCCATTCCATCTTCTATTCTGTTCTATCCTATTCTATTTTAACCTTGGCAACTTTGAGACTTGTGGACCTCAACTCCCATGTCTGGCTGAGGAATTCTGGGAGTTGAAGTCCACAAGTCTCAAAGTTGGAGACCCCTATTTGAGACCCTTGACTTGCAAGTTGCGGTTGCTTCCATTGTGGGAAACATTTTCCAAAGCTGCATTTCCCACCTTGGCTGGTTTTTTTTTATTATTATTATTATTATTATACTTTCCCAGGATTGTGCCACCATGACACTACAAGGGACTTACGGCTTTTTTCGATTTCTTCTTGGTGGACCTCGCTTTTTTGGCTTTTTCCACCACCGAGTAGAGGGCCAGGCAGAGGCGCGCCATACGGGGCAGGTCGCAGACGTTAATGTCGAATTTCAACATCTGATCCCAGGTGGGCTCGGAGCAAACATTGGCTTCGGCGCTGGTCATCATTTTGCAGAGCATCTCATGACCGTGATAGAGTCCGGCCTGCACGACCAACTGAAGAAAAAGGGACAAATGGACAGGGAAGCACGTTATCCACCCTTTCAGCCCCAAACGAATACCGTGTTTTCCCCAAAATAAGACCCCACCGGAAAATAAAGCCCTAGCCTGATTTTTCAGGACACTCGTAATATAAGCCCCCACCCCCAAGATAAGATCATCAGACAGACGCATTTAGTACCGTATTTTCCCAAAAATAAGATCTAACTGGAAAATAAACACCTAATGTGTCTTTTGGAGAAAAAATTAATATAAGACCCGGTCTTATTTTCGGGGGGGGAAACAGATAGCGCTGAATCTGTGGATAGGAACCAGGAAGTCAAGTCTCAAATCAGTGGCTTTGGACCAAGGCAGGATGTCTTGTTTGCCACTCTTTCACAGTCTCGTGTCAAGCTTCTAGTCCTCATGGCTGCGGGATGGAAAAACCCTCCGACAACCTTAAACTTTTTCACACTTAACGACTGTTGCAGCCGTCCCCGTGATCAACATTCAGACGCTTGGCAAATGACTCGTATTTATGATGGTTGCGGCCTCCCGGGGTCACGCAATCCCCTTTTGTGACATTTCTGACAAGCCAAGTCAAATGGGACAAGCCAGCTTCGCTTAACAAACCTGTTAACTAAGTTAATAGCTGCAGTGATTCACGTAACAACCTGGGCAGGAAAGTTTGTAAAATGAGGCAAAAACCCACTTAACAACTGTCTCACTTAGCAACGGAAACTGTGGTCGTAAGTCAAGGATTATCTGTATTTGTTTATTGATTTATATCCCGCCTTTATTACATTTACAAATAACTCAAGGAGGCAGACACACACTATACTCCCTCCTCCCCCTATTTTCGTAACGACAATAACCCTGCGAGGTGGGTTGTTCCTAGAGTGACCCAAAGCTGGCTTTCATCATGGCTAAGGCAGGACTCGAACTCATGGTCTCCCGTTTTCTAGCCGGGTGCTTTAACCACTAGACCAAACTGTCTCTCTGACTACTTTAATGGTTCTTTTCTAGAGATCAAAAAGGACAACATTCTTGCTTTGATGTCCTCTCTGCTCTTAGGATAACAGCTTGCCTTATCTCATAATATCAGAAGATAAATTATTACATTGTAAATATATCCTATTATAAACATCCTATAATAACCCTGGCCAGTTTGCAAAAGGAGGAGAGCTCATATAATAAAGCCGAAGCCACCCACTCCAATTCGATCGATGTTATTTGGAATCTGCACTAAATTCAGGAAGGAAATAACATCATAAGTACGATCTGCAAAACAAAAAAAGCAATGAAAAAAAAAACCAACCCTTGTGGTTTCTTATTTCCTTCTACCCCTTAATTTCTCCATTTTTTTTCTTTTAAAAAAAAAACAAAAACTTTTCCCAGAACTAAAAGTCAAGAGACGTTCCCCTTTGCCTTGTTCCTTCACTGCACTTTTTTTTCTTTAATTATTTACTTGCAAGAAGCCGCATTTTAGCGTAAGTGGAAAGGAAGGAAAACTTTTTTAACACACACACACACACACACGCACGCACAAAGCTGTCCACAAACAGTTTCTAAGAAGTTCATTTCTGGCTAATCCACTCTGCGCCCTCACTTCCTGTAGTGAGACCGCCAACTTAGAACTGAATGAAAGAGTTTTAGAAAGGAAAAAACAAAATACACACACACACACATTTGCCTGGTTTCGAGCTTCGGATCGCAAGCTTGGTTAAATGCGAGTGGTAAACAAATCCTGAGTGGGAAGGCAGAAAGCCGCAGAGTGTCTAGCCGAAAGAAGGAGGAGGAGGAGGAGAAAAAAAAATTGATTTAAGGTGACTTACTTTCAATCCTTCGTCGGCATTCACTTTGCTGCAGTGCAGGAGCTCTATATAATATGGCTGTTCCAGGGACCACAGAGATAACTAGATAACAAGAACAAGAAAAAGAGAGAAAATGTGGATTTTGTGGCTAATTTCGCATTGGGTTCAAGCTGGCCCCAAAAGGGTAGCCAGCCTCTGGTATATTGTTTAAACCTCACCCGCAAACGTGGATTAGCGGCAGTCTTAAAAGTCAACCTTGAATTCAAATCTTCCTTCCTGAAAGGGTTTGTGGGGATGCTCCATCCTGTGTAACGTGTTTCCAACCCTTAGACCTTCTTCGGTCTGGGGAATTCAGGTTGGTCTCCTTAAACGTGGTCGAGGGGTCCCTTGACGAAGTAAAGGCTTGTCTTATTATTATTATTATTATTATTATTATTATTATTATTATTATTATTATTATTATTATTATTATTATTATGGAAGAAGAAGAGGAAGAGGAAGAGGAAGAGGAAGAAGAGGAAGAAGAGGAGGAAGAAGAGGAAGAAGAAGAAGAAGAAGAAGAAGAAGAAGAAGAAGAAGAAGAAGAAGAAGAAGAAGAAGAAGAAGAAGAAGAAGAAGAAGAAGAAGAAGAAGAAGAAGAAAAAAGTTGGAAGGGACCTTGGAGGTCTTCTAGTCCAATCCCCTGCTCAGGCAGGAAACCCTATACCATTTCAGACCAGTTTCTTCTTAAAAATCTCCAGTGTCGGAGCATCCACAACTTCTGGAGGCAACTTCTGTTCCACCGGTTAATTGTCCTCACTGTTAGGAAGTTTCTCCTTAATTCCAGGTTGCTTTTCTCCTTGATTAGTTTCCATCCGTTCTTTTTTGTCTTCTGATGCTTTGGGAAATTAAGCCTCTCAAATACTGGAAATTAAGCCTCTCAAATACTGGAACACTGCTGTCATGTCCCCCCCCCCTAGTCCTTCTTTTCTGAATTTGAAAAAATCACCCCTTTGCTCGCAACAGTGGTGAAAAAGGAACAGTTATGGGTTACCTTCTGCTTCGGGCCCGTAGACAGTTTGGGGGCTGTTTTCGGAGGATGCCCAAGCCCATTGCTCTGTTCTTCCCGCAAAATCAGAAGAGAGGATCTGTGGACCATAACGAGGTGGGGGACGAAACGCCGGTGGAGGCACTCACGGATGTACTGCGAGGACAGAGCAGACCCCGTTAACGCCTGGAGCAAAACTTCAAACGCTCACTCAAACGGGAGTCCATTTAGAATAAAACGAAACGGGGCTCAAATCCCAAGGCAGAATCCTAAGAACTTGGACCAGTTTAAAACCTAAAACTCAAGATTCTAGCGCCTGTGGAGGAAAGGAGGGACACAGGTACTACCTTAAATAGCAAAAAGGAGCGAGGCATGACTTCCAAAGGTGAACAGGTTTAGCTAGCCCTTTTAGTTTTCTTCCTCGTCCCTGGGGGGGGGGGGGAATGCCGTGAAATTCTCTGCGATCCATGAGGACTAGAATGCCAAGCTCCAAGGTGGTGTTGAGTCTAAGCTGCATCCCAGGCCAGGCAGCATAGGAACACACCAATTCTCTAAAGCAGTGTTTCTGAAACGGGGCCACTTTTAAGATGGGGCGGACTTTGACTCCCAGAATTCCCCAGCCAGCTTTGTTTTGATTTCCCGCCAGGGGAATTGTGGGAGTTGAAGTCCGCCCGTCTTCAGAGTAGCCCAGTTTGAGAAACGCTGTATTGCGACATCACCCTGCCTACAAAAATTGTGTTGGCTTAGCAAGGGGGAAGAAGGCACACCTGAAACAGGTACAGGGGATACTCCCCGTAGATGTATTCGTATTTCCCATCCACCTGCAAGGTGTACTCCTCAACGGGGTTGACCCTTTGGTGACGGAAGATGGTGGCTTGCTTCTTGACGGCGTAGCTCATCAGAGTGACGGGGAACTCCTTCAGGGACACCAGGAAAGTGAAGCTCTCCTGAAAATCCAGGAAAGGCAAAACATGACTCTTTCAAACCAGAAGAGACTGGACAGCCATTTGTCCGAAATGGTATAGGGTTTCCTGCCTGAGCAGGGGATTGGACTAGATGACCTCCAAGGTCCCTTCCAACTTTATTATTATTATTATTATTACCCCCGCTGCTTCCCCGTTGGTACAGGTAATCATGGATCGTAGAACCATCGGGCTGGAAGAGACCTCGGAGGTCTTCTAGTCCAGCCCCCTGCTCAAGGCAGGACCTGTGGCGGTCCTCAACTTACCACTGTTCCTTTGGTGACCATTTGAACTTGCAGCCGCGAGGAAAATGTGACTTGGCGGTGGTTGGTCAGGCTGAATAGCCGTTACGGCATCCCTGTGGCCAAGTGACCCACTTGGCCACTGGGTCATGTTTAGGAGGGTGGCAGTGTCCCCGGGGTGTGTGTGTGTCCTGCGGTCCCCTTTTGTGGCCAGCAAAAGTCAACGGGGAATCCAGATTGACTTAATAGCCGTGGGACAAACTTAACAACCGGAGTGATCCCCTTAAGCGCTGTGGCAAGGAAGGTGGTCAACGGGGGCAAAAAGTCACTCCACAAATGTCTCATTTAGCAACAGAAATTTGGGGCTCAGTTGTGGTCGTTAAGTTGAGGACTCCCTATGTTTTGCACGGGTTTGGCTCCCTTTCCCCCCCCCCCCTTGATCAGATCTTTGCAAAGAAGCCAGGATCTAAAGGAGATGGGAGGTTAATAAATGGAAGGAAGGAAGGAAGGAAAAGAGGAAGGAGGAAAGGAAAGGAAAGGAAGGTAGGTAGGAAGGAAGGAAGGAAGGAAGGAAGGAAGGAAGGAAGGAGAAAAAGGAGGGAAGGAGGAAGGAAAGGAAGGAAAAGGAGAGAGGAAGAAAGGAAGGAGAAAAAGAGGGAGGGAAGGAGGAAGGGAGGGAGAGGAAGGAAGGAAAGAGAGAAAAGAAAGAAAGAAAAAGAAAGCATTTCAGATTTACACATTAGCAAAAGCATTGTCAGTTTGGCTGCCCACGATCTAGGATACACACACACACACATACACACACACACATACACATACACATACATACATCTTTGCCCTTTTCCACACACTAAACATCTCCATTATCTTTTATCAACAGAGCTTCGGGAAGCGTGGGAATTTACCCCTCCGGATTGAAATTTGACGTTGACAAAAATGGTCTTGCCGGGCACGGTCAGGGTTGGTCTCCCCCCGAGGCCGCTCAGGGTGGGCTCCAGCTGAACTGGGAAGCTGTACTCCATCCAGCCTTTCCAGGTGAGCTGCTGGCGCTGAGCCGCTCTCTGCTCGCAGTAATCTTGCATCTGAGCCCGGAAGTCGTCCACCTCGGGGTCCGCCAAGGAGTCAAACTCATGCAAACCTGGACAGGGAACAGGATGACCTCCTAACGATGGCAGTCTACCGCATCAGATCGACTCCCTCGACAAGGTAGGCCTTTTGTATCCCTTCACAGCCCTAAGTTTCTAGTTCTCATGAAAGCGTGGACGACTCGCTGGGCCGGGAATCACGCACGAGATAGGATTTGACTGCCAATCTTAGGAAATGGGACAAAGTTTTATCAAAAGCTGTACGGAAGTCTCACTTCGGCTGCCTTGGTCCATTTCAGTAGGCGAGAATGGTTTTGTCAGATGCTCTGATATTTTAGGTTTTTCAGCCGCTTTCATGATTAATCATTATGGGCCATAATTGTCAATAATATTTTCTGTCTTCTCTTAATTACTTTGATTATACTGTGGGGTCCCTGGTGCTCTTCCCAGCTTGGTGGTTTTCTTGCAGACGTTTCATTACCCAACTAGGTAACATCATCCATGCTAGAAGGGAGTGGGGTTTGCAGAGTGGAGGAGGAGGATGATTATGGGGTCCTTAGAGCTCTCCGAGCTTGGTGGTTTTCTTGCAGACGTTTCATTACCCAACTAGGTAACGTCATCAGTGCTACGAGGGAATGGGGTGTGGGAGGAGAAGGAGGAGGAGGACAACGACTGTGGGGTCCTTGGTGCTCTCTGAGCTCGGTGGTTTCCTTGCAGACGTTTCATTACCCAACTAGGTAACGTCATCAGTGCTACAAGGAAGTGGGTTTGCACTGATGACGGTACCTAGTTAGGTAATGAAAGATCTGCAAGAAAACCACCAAGCTCAGAGAACACCAAGGACCCCACAGCCACTGTCCTCCTCCCCCTCCTCTTCCTCCCACACCCCACTCCTTTCTAGCACTGATGACGTTACCTAGTTGGGTAATGAAACATCTGCAAGAAAACCACCAAGCTCAGAGAGCACTAAGGACCCCACAATCGTCGTCCTCCTCCTCCTCCTCCTCCTCCTCCTCCTCCTCCTCCTCCTCTTCATCCCTGAACTTACAACTATATTCTCTTCTATCGGTATTTTGAATATACATTAACAAACTAAAACATGGACTAAGAACACACTATGGAAAGAGAGCAGGTGGGCTATTTTTCTAAGATACGTTTATAAGCTTTCACTCTATTAAGGGTCTGCAAAGAATTAAAAACAAGCCATTCAGCAGACCCCAGATATCCTCTCCCAAGGGCACTTTGGGGCCTTCCTGAAGAATAGAAACCAATGTTTTATTCCCTCCCAACAGCCCTGCAGTGCAGGGCATATGCCTCTTTCCCCCCAGCCGCCACCATCACCACCAACAACCTTTGCCAATCAGCAGGCTAATCTGGGAATTGAGCAGTTTCTTCGCCCGGTCCCCTTCGCGGGCCACCAGTCGCAAGACCGGTAGGAAAGGCTGGACGTCACACAGGCGTCTCTGCTCGTCCTCAAGTTCCTGCTGCTCTGCGGCTTGGTTGATGCAGGTGAAGACGTAAGAATCCGGGGCGCTGAGCATCTGGAAGAAGGGCTCATACTGGGCCTGGTGCCAGACCACCTGGAAGGAAACAGCAATAGCAACAGCACTTAAGACTTATATACCGCTTCACGATGCGGTATTTTACCGATCTCGGAAGGATTGAAATCTGAGTCGACCTTGAGCCGGTCAGGATCGAACTGCTGGCAGCGGGCAGAGTTTAGCCTGCAATGCTGCATTCTAACCACCGCGCCCCCACGGCTCTTCCAAAAACTGCAGTGAAATCATTGCAGTTGTTAGTAACACAGTTGTTAAGTGAATCTGACTTTTGTTTGTCAGAAGGTCGCGGAAGGGGATCACGTGACCCCCCGGGGCACACTGCGACCGTCGTAAATACGAGCCGGTTGCCAAGTCTCTGAATTTTGATCATGGGGATGCTGTGATGTAAGCGCGAAAAAGGATCCTAAGTCACCTTTTTCCAGTGCTGTTGCAACTTGGAAGAGTCACTTAAATGACCTGTTGTAAAGACTACTTGCAGATGTAAAAAAAGGAGGAAAGATTATTTTCTCAAACTGGAGACCCCTGGAATATTGGGATGCGGAGAGGCCTGGATTTAACAACACCATTGGGGACCAGAACTTCCATCGTGTGGTGCCTGATTTTACGACCTTTTTTTTAAACCACGATCGTTAAGCAAATCACCACAGCCGCTTAAGTGGAAAGGCTGTTAAGCAAGCCAGCTTCCCTTGTTGACTTTGCTTGTTAGAACCTGGCTAGCAAGGTTGACGTCGGCAATCGCCTGACGCTGGGATGCTAGTCTTAACCAATTTAGATCACATGACTGCGGGGATGCGGTGAAGAAGATCATGAGTGTTTATGACTGGTTTATCAGTCCCTTTTTCCAAAGCGGTTGTAACGTCAAGCTGAACGAATGGTGGTTAAGTCTCCTGAATGGTGGCCGAGAAGCCGCGGAGTTGGGTTGTTCGTTTTGAGCAGTTGGGCAAAAACTCCCACCCCATCAAGACCGGAGAGGGACCGTACCTTTTTGATGGCGGCCAGGCTGGCATGGCAGGAAACAGGGAGGGGCAGGTAAATCCCGGTGGGTAAAAGGAAGTCCACAAGAATGGTGTAATTGCTTTCCTTCGACCAAAATTCTGCCGGGCAATACATTCCTGGTGGCATCCTTCTGGTTTCTCAGAGCATACCTGCGGCGAAAGGGAAGCCGACATTTTCATCCCTGCATCTCTACGGGGATTCTCAGCCATTCCAGGTCATCCCTGCAAATTCTCTATTTTCACCAAGGACAGGGTTCCCCCCCCCCCCCGTCTTCCAAAACCCCCTTCGCTGGGTTCCTAAAAAGAGCTTTTTTTCTTTCCTTTTCCCCTCGTTACACTATGTTTCTTTCTTTCTTTCTTCTCTCCCCCTTCCCTTCCTTCCTTCCTTCTTCTCTCCCTTTCTTTCTTCCTTCCTTCCTTCTTCTCTCCTTTTTCTTTCTTTTTCTTTTTCTTTCTTTCCTTCCTTCCTTCTTCTCTCCCTTCTTCCTTCCTTTCTTCCTTCCCTTCTTCTCTCCCCTTTCTTTTTCTTTCTTTCTTTCTTTCCTTCTTTCTTTCTCTTTCTGTCTGTCTTTCTTTCTTTCCTTCCTTCCTTCCCCCAATCTCCCTTCTTTCTTTTTCTTTCTTTCTTTCCTTCTTTCTTTCTCTTTCTGTCTTTCTTTCCTTCCTTCCCCCTATCTCCTTTCTTTCTTTCTTTCTTTCTTTCTTTCTTTCTTTCTTTCTTTCTTTCTTTCTTTCTTTCTTTCTTTCCCCTTCCTCCCCAGTTTTCTATTCTTTTTTTAAAAAAAAATCCTCTTGGTTATTTTATACTTTGATAAACTAATAAACATGTACTATTAAAAAAAAAGAAAAAAAAAGATCTTTTGGTGGTATCCTAAAAATCAGCTTTTTTCTTTCCTTTCCCCCCTTCTTTATACCACGTTGTCTCTTTCTTTCCCCCCACCGCCCCGGTTTTCTATTTTTTTTTTAAAAAAAAATCTCTTTGTGTTTTGTACTTTGACAAACTAATAAAAATGTATTGTAAAAAAGAAAAGAAAAGAAAACACACTTGGGTGATTTCCTAAAAATAAGCTTTTTTCTTTCCCGTTTAGGCTGATCTGGGATTTTTTTTAAAAAAAAAAATTGTGAGCTGTTTTTGCTGAGGCTTTAGATGAATTCTGGGTCTGCACTGTGGCAATTTTTTACTCACTAAATGATGGACTTGCCATTCCAGCATGGAAATAAAAGAACGAGGGGATTGTAGAGAAAGGGACGGAAAGAAACTAACAGTTGGAGACCAGATCAGCTGCAGAGGAAAAAAAAATCCCGTCACAGAGAGAAATCCTCACTCTTTTCTTCCTTGGACCGTCCACTGGAATCCGTGAGTCATTACATATATTATAGTAATAACTATGGAATAGTTTGTTTAGTTAAACATTAGTATATACACTGTCGGCCTCTTGGGGCGTTGTTTTTGCCCGAATGATTTAGTTCGATAAAAGATGTAAATAACGTCGTTATGGTGACGCAACATGTTCACCAGGAGTTGCATGCTGGTGTTAGCTCGGGTGTAAAAGACAACGATTCACTCTGTCAGATTAAGTGAGTTTTGCCACAGTTGTTAAAAGTGAATGACTGCAGTTGATAAATTAGTAATATTTGCCGCCCGTTTCAGAAAGCTGGGGCAGAAACGCCCGTTGGTTATTCACGCTCAAACTTTTCCCAACTTTTTAATCTACCCAGATGTTGCCTCCTCAGCTGATACCAAGACATGTAAGCTGTTTTTCTTGCGGCTTTTGCTCAAATGTATTTTTTTGCTCAAGTGTAATTTTTGATCTCTGGGTTTGTAGGGAGGGGAGAAATTAAGCTTCTCACTGCAGTCTGCAGGTAGATAAAAGGCTCTTGAGCCTCTCTTTAAAAACCAGAGTGGCCGATAAAAAAACGGGACCTCATGAAATTTATCCCGCACAACTGACCGTGTCAGTTTCCTTTCTAAACCCCATCCTCAGATTATTTGGTGGGGAAATTAGATTATACTGTCCTCCATTGCCCCAAAAGCAGAATTTAAGGGGGATGGGCCCAAGGCAGAAAGGGAAAAAAAAAAAAAAAAGAAAAGCTTGTGAACCAGATGTCCTGGACAGTAGAAAGGAGATTCCTGAGAGATGATTCATTTATTTATAAAATGTGCATCTCGGATTTTTCTTTCTTTTTCAAACTACTCCAGAGTTGAAATGACTTCACCACTCTCCTTCAGGCGCAGAGGCCGGGGATGTGATTCCCCCAGTCTGCAAAACAGATCTGCTAAATCTTCTAATTTCAAACTTCATAACCTTTCTCAATTATTCACGTCTTCCCGATTCGTTTGCAAGTCCTTTGCGTCGTGCGAAAGTCGCAATCAATTGTGCCTGTCGTCTATCCAGCTTTATGTATTTCTCGGCTGAAGGTTTTTCAAATCTGCCGGCGTTGCTTTAATATACAATATTTCTGCAGAGGCATTTGTAAGATGAGTTGGACCCGCCCTATTGTACACAACTTTTACACACAGCATCTTTTAGCGAGCTCACTTGGGGTTTTCCAGAAGTCTACTAATAACCAAATTGAGGGGGGGGGGCGAAGTAGGGGGCAGGGAGAGATGCAAAGTAGAAAAAGTCTAATTTAAATAAATCAAGTTTCTAGATCTTAAGATAGTATATAGCAGCCATTCTTGCTTTTACTTCTGTTAGGGTCAAGTGGGATGCTCCTGCCGTTCGTTTGGAGCCCCTTCTGAAATAAAACACTTTTATATAAAGACAGGGAGTCCTCGGCTTAACGACCGCAACTGAGCCCAAAACCTCTGTTGTTAAGATCTGCCTGTACTTATTGCAAGGCACAAATTCTCTTGTTGAGGCTGAGGAATTCTGGGAGTTGAAGTCCACAAGTCATCAAAGGGCCAAGTTGGATGGCCCCTGCACTAAGGAATGGACTCAATTATTTATTATCCCTTCTGAGACAGGAGAATGCAGGCTGGGGGGGGGGAAACCTTTCAAGCTAAATACTTCATAAGATAAGATTGTTTACAAAGGACTCACAAACAAACAGCAAAGCCCTTTAAAAACCAAGCTTTGCTTTTGGTTTAAGAAAAACACTTGATTTTAAAAAAAAACAACACTCAAGATTCCTTTGCAGTGTTGTTGTTGTTGTTGTTGTTTTTAACTCCAGAGATTTTTCTCAACTAGTGGCCAATCCTCAGAAGTTAGCGGAGAGGAAATAAAATAAAATAAAATAAAAAGTTTACAGGGCAGGAACCAATGATGCATTAAGACACAATTCACAAAATGACGTAGAGGAAAATTAGACCCCCTTTTTTCCCCCCCTTCATTTAACTGAACCCGCCCCCCCCCAAAAAAACTTGTTTTTGCCAAAGCCTTTCTCCGCAGCCGTGAGGACTAGCACCTTGCAAAAGCTTTAGCTCAGTCCCTTTTCCATCATTAAAGAAACAGCCAGCTTCCCAAGCTTTTTCAATCTTGGCCACAGCCAAGCTTACGCTTTTGAGGAGGAGGAGGAGGAGAATCAATGAGACGATTGAATTCCTGGGAAACGCTGATATCATTATGAAGCATGTCATATTTCCGGTTTTGTTTCGTTATCCAACAACAACAACAACAAGGCGGCTCCTAACTGGACGCAAAGCGGGTCTAAAAGCGACCCCCTCCCCAATGCAAACATTACAGTCCCGGCGGGGGGGGGAGAGGACTGTAATGTTTGCATTGGGGAGAGGGTCGCTTTTAGGATGCCCCAGGGAGGGGGCGCATCTGGAAAGGAAGGGGGGGGTCCTTTCCAGATGCGCCCCTTCCTTCCCTTGGGCATCCTATAGGCTCGGATCGGGAAGGGCGAACAAAGGACGGCGCAAGGGGGGTGTGGGTGTGTGTGGAGGGGGGGGGAAACGGCGCCCGCAGAAGCCCTCTGCACGCGCTCAGAGGCGCGCTGCCTGCATCTCTTCCCTCCCCCTTTCTCCACCCCCCCCAGCCCCAACCCAATTCCCCTGCCAGGGGGGGGATCCGCCCCAAAGTAACGCTCCGGGGGATGGGGGGGGGAGGAAGGAGAGACGCCGAGGGATCGCAGTGGATCCCGATCCCCCCGCCGCCGGGGGGGGGGATCCACTGAGAAGCCACCCACCTCCGAGCAGCGGTCCCGGCAGCTGCATCCCGACCCGCCGCCTCCCCCGAGCCAGCGAAGGATGGGACTCGCCCGGCCGGCAGCCCCACCTCTCCGGCGGCTGCCTTCCAAGGGAGCGTGGCCAAAGTGCCCGAGGCGCTCAGAAGCGTCGCCGNAATATCATTATTGATACCTTATCAAACAAATCAATTTGTAATCATATATGTGACAGCCGGAGAACCCCGCAACAAAAACGGGCTTACTAAATCAAGCTATTTTCTACATTTATTGCAGCAATACCACTGCGTTGTACAAGTGGTCCTCAACGTACGACCACAATCGAGCCCACATTTTCTGTTGCTAAGTGAGACAGTCGTTAAGTGAGTTTTGCCACAGTTGTTAAAAGTGAATGACTGCAGTTGATAAATTATAGTAATATTTGCCGCCCGTTTCAGAAAGCTGGGCAAGAAACGCCCGTTGGTTATTCACGCTCAAACTTTTCCCAACTTTTTAATCTACCCAGATGTTGCCTCCTCAGCTGATACCAAGACATGTAAGCTGTTTTTCTTGCGGCTTTTGCTCAAATGTATTTTTTTGCTCAAGTGTAATTTTTGATCTCTGGGTTTGTAGGGAGGGGAGAAATTAAGCTTCTCACTGCAGTCTGCAGGTAGATAAAAGGATCTTGAGCCTCTCTTTAAAAACCAGAGTGGCCGATAAAAAACGGGACCTCCCAAAATTTATCCCTGTTTCCTTTCTAAACCCCATCCTCAGATTATTTGGTGGGGAAATTAGATTATACTGTCCTCCATTGCCCCAAAAGCAGAATTTAAGGGGGATGGGCCCAAGGCAGAAAGGGAGAAAAAAAAAAAAAAAGCTTGTGAACCAGATGTCCTGGACAGTAGAAAGGAGATTCCTGAGAGATGATTCATTTATTTATAAAATGTGCATCTCGGATTTTTCTCTCTTTTTCAAACTACTCCAGAGTTGAAATGACTTCACCACTCTCCTTCAGGCCGG